ATAAATAAATAATAAATAGTAATAAATAAAGCCATTTTACAACCAGTGGAATTTTAACACTCAACCTGCCTTTTAAAATAATTTCTTTGCATGTTTGTTTTGCAGTTTTCAGTGAAGGAATAATCCAGTACCATAAATGTTTTCAATAAAAATACTATGTTCACATGAAGCATTTAAAAGCAGCGAGAAGAGAGCGGTCTGGTTTCTCTCTTCAGAACTTGCCTAGATGGACGCTCTTATAGGAATTGTCTTTCAGGCTGTTGAATATCTCTTTGGTGCCGTTCTGCCACTGAAGAACAAGATCCATAGGGGTTTTCCCTTGCTGGTTAAAAAAGCAGAGGAAGCAAGATTTAATTTTGGCCAGTGATTACCGAGTCCTTCATTCTTCCCGAAATATTTGTAGGGTGCGTCTACCTGGCGTGAGATCCTTCTGCACACGCAAGGTCAGCCTAACTCTGGCCTCCCTGAGATCTGAGTGCTTTTGCTCTACAGATCTAATCCCAGCCCTGTTCAGACTCATGATGAAATCTGTCTCTGTTTCAGTGGGTCTGAGCTGTATTAGCAAATACCGTGACTAGCAGGGCATGCAGGTGTTTCTTTTGATCTAGTTTAAACTGATTAGAAATACATTTAGATGAAACCTCAATAAGCCACTCTTCTATTTAGTGGAAAATTCAGATAAGAGTTTGTACTGGTGTAATTAGGTTACGAACCACATCTAAATTAAACAGGAGCAACTTCTGTGTGCAGGCAAAGGCTGAGCGAGCAAGTCTTTGGCCTTCGGGGCTGTACCTTTCATCATTTTCATACCCTGATGAGGGATAATGCCGGGAGTGGCCCTGCATCGGAGAGCGTGGGCTTACCAGAAGGGAGATTTCTTTGACAAGCTAAGATCTTTGTTGTCTCAGTGGTGGTTGAAGCTTAGGAGTTGTGCAGAGAGCAAGTGTCTGTACATTATATCTTTTTAATATATGATATGTGTAATTAAAATAAATCACAGAAAGATGTGATGTTATTTTAAGTTGCAGTTGACAGGTTCTGGTTTTAGAAGAGGTACTGGTTTTTCCTCTTCTCCCTGACCTCCCCCAAGTTATACTTTCCCCCTGTCAGCTCTGCTTTAATTAACTCTGAAGTGATCTAATTAAGTCTGTTCACAATAGTCTCTCCTGGCCTTGAAACCTATGAAACTGCTCTGAAGGGAAACCTATTCTAAAGCGTTTTGAATTACTGTGGTTTTTTGCTATTACTTACGCAGTTCTTTATAGTTAGATCTGCTCCATACAGAATCAGGAGCCTGATCATTTTGTAGCGGTTCAGCCTCACCGCGTCGTGCATCGGTGTGTCTCCTTCCTAGAGGCAGGAGACATGGAGCACAGCGTCAGTCATAGAATCATAGAATGGTTTGGGTTGGAAGGGACCTTAAAGATCATCTAGTTCCAAGCCCCTGCCAGTCCAGCGCCGTGGTCCAGCCCCAATGGCGTGGCCGAGGATTTTTACAGGCAACTGGAACTATCGAGGCAGACAGCAGCTTGCTGCTACCTGATAGCTGGCAGGTAAGAAGCTGTTGGTACTTACTCTGTCTCTGGCATTGAGATCTGCTTCACAGGCGATGAGGTGCTCCCCGCAGTCGTACTGACCCGTCCTCACAGCCACGTGCAAAGGGGTGCTGAGCAGCTGAGAGGTGGGAGGAGGAAGCAGTCAGTGGCACGGGACAGGTAAAGACGGCTTCAAGAACGGCCGCCAAAAGTTATCTAAGTAAGGGTCAGCTTTTCCTCTCCAATTTAAAAAGTTGCTGTGTCCCAGAAGCACATACCTTGTCTCTTGCATTTGTGTTTATCCCTTTGTCCAGTAAGAATTTGAGAACATCCAGGTTCCCCCCCCGGCACGCCCAGTGCAGGGCTGTAGATTCAAGCTGTGGCAGGAAAAACAAATTGATAATAATTTAATTCATCATTCAAAATTAAGCCACTTTGATCAAATTTCTAAATTAATCCAAAATCATTTTCATGCAATTTAACATAAAGCACTTCACAGTAATCACTGAGTTGCTTCTAGTAACAGCTTTTCTTATTTTGCCCTAATTTCTTTAGTACTGTGAGTTTCTCACTCTTCACACTCGCTGCATATTGCCCTTAAAGACAGATATCTTGGCAACACTTCTGTGAGAGAGGATGTGTTTTGTCTATTCTGTGAACTTAGAAGTTATCTTTAGCCAGGCATGTGGCTGGTATGTGCTAGTTAGTATCTTTTAGTCAATGCCTTTTGGGTTCTAAAATGCATAGAAAATGAAGCTCAAGGGAAAGAATAGTTCTCTTTTAAAAAAAAACCCAACCAAACCAACAAACCAAACTTATGCAGGTCCACAAAGCGAATTAGAACCCTTCTCCTCCACAAGATTCAGTTTCCCTGCCCTCAG